CATGGCCGGCAGTTGGCATTTTGGATCAGGTTGGCGCTTAGCGCGCCCCAGGCCCAGCAAATTGCATATTGTCCGACTGCTGCTCTTCAGCAGTGCTGGAGAGACCCGAATCCAAAGGCAAAACAATCTCATTCTCGTTTGATCTCGATGAATCAGTTCTCGAGGCCGGGGGATTGTGAAGTACCTCGTCGTTTTTAAATGGTGTTTATCGAAGGGAACGGTCCTTCATCTTTATGGACTGATGTTCGTTGCGATTGTTCTGTTCGACGTGATCTCCTCATCATATGCTTCTCTCGACATATTGGTATCTCGTGTTCTCTCTCTCTCTCTCTCTGTGTCTCTCTTTTTTGTTTTCTCTCTCTATCCCCTGCACCAGGCCAGTGCATGTCGATACGACACCAGTCCATTGCCAACCGATGCCAATGCCACTGCAATGTGAATGGGGGAATCCCTTCGCTCGGTGGATTTCAATCAGATTTCTTTGTGGACAATGTCATTACGAATCCTTCTTCGGAGGATTTCAATGGGAATGCCTTTGTGCAGGGTTTCGGTTGGCATCCTCCTGTGGAGGGCTTCACTGGGAATCCTTCTCGTGGGGGCTTCAGTCGGAGTCCGTCTGCGGAGGAGCCATAGTCTCGCCAGCGCAATGCCAACGCAATGCGAACGTACTGCCATCGCAATGCCAAGCCAATGCCAAGGCGATCCCAATACAATGCCAACGCAATGCCAATGAAAGGGGGCCTTTGTGGTACATGTTACAAAGAATACCATTTCTGGAGGGTTTCATTCGGAATCGTTGAGCGAAGGGAGGCACAAGGACTCGTTAGCACAATCCCAGCGCACTACGCAATGCCAAAACAATGCCCAATGCAAGGTGAATGGGGGAACCATTTCGCTCGGTGGATTTCAATCAGAATCCTTTGTGGACGATGTCATTACGAGTCCTTCTTCGGAGGAGTTCAATAGGAATGCCTCTGTGCAAAATTTCGGTTTGGATCGTCCTGTGGAGGGTTTCACTGGGAATCCTTCTTGTGGGGGCTTCTTCAGTAGGAGCTCTTCCGCGGAAGGAGCCACTAGGACTCGCCAGCGCAATGCCATCGCAATGCGAACGCACTGCCATCGCAATGCAAAGCCAATGCTAAAGCGATCCCAATACAATGCCAGTGCACTGCCAATGGGGGGAATCTGTTGTTGTAGGTTGTTATAGGTTCCAGAAAGAATCTCGTTTGTGGATGGTTTCAGTGGGGACCCATCTGCGAAGGGGGACAATGCCAACGCAGTGCCAACGTAATGTCAAACAAACGCCAGGGCGATGCCAACTTAATGCCGATGCAACCCCGATGGGGTGGATTCTTTGTGTTAGCGTTCAAGGGCAGTCCTTCTAAGACCACTTCTATGGATGATGCCAACCACAAAGGAATCGTTCTAAAGACCCTTCTTCATTGGATTTCGATAGAACTCCGTCCGTGGAGGGATTCACAGGGAACCCGTCTGTGGAGGAGTGCAATGGGAATCCTTATTTTTGTTGGGGGCCCGTAGACATCATTTTTGTGGACGCATTCAATCGGACTCCGTCGGTGGAGCGTGTGGTTGGGACTCGCTTGCGCAATGCCATCGCAATGACAACGCACTGCCATAACAATGCCAACACAATATCAACGCGATGCCACACCGTTACCAAACCAATGCCAATGCAATGCCGATGGCATGATTCCAGTCTTTTAACAGACTCCAACAGAAACCCTTCTGTGGATGATTTGGATACGGATCCTTCTTTGGAGGATATCAGTAGGAATCTTCCCGTGGAGGGATTCGGCAGTAATCCTTCAGTGGAGGGTGTTGCCATGAACCTTTCATGTGGGGGCTTTCAAACAGAACCCTTCGTGCGGAAGGTTTCAATCGGAATCCTTCTATGGTGGGAGCTAGTAGAACTCGCCATCGCAACGCCAAAGCAGTGCCAATGCAATGCCAAGCCATTGCGATGGCAATCCCAGTCCAATCCCAATGATATACCTGAGGGCAATCGATTGTGGTCGGTTTCAATAGGATTTCTTCGATGGAGGGCTTCGCATGTGTTCAATGTGCGCCCTTCTTATGAAATTTTTCAATCGGAATCCTTCTTGTGTGGGGCGCAATAGGAATCATTCTGCGAAGGGAGTTGCTGGAACTCGCCAGCGCAATGCCAGCGCACTGCCAAAGCAGTGCCGACGCAATGCCAACCTAATGCCAAGGTGATCCGAACCCAATGCTAATGCAATGCCAATGCGGGAACGCGTGTGCGATCGATTTCAAAAGGAATCATCGTGTGCAAGGCGTCGCATGTAATCCTTCTGTGTAGGGTTTCAACATGAATGAGCCGTGTTTGGGGAGGGTTTCGATTGGAGCCTTTCTGGTAGAAGGTTTCAATCTGAGTCCTTTGTGGAGAGTTCCATTTGGAACCGCCAGCGCAATGCTTGCGACATGCAATCGCATTGCCAACGCACTGCCAAGCGCTATGCCAATGCAATGCCAATGCGATCTCTAACCATGGCCAAACCAACGCCAATGCAATGCCATGCGGGGTATTTCTCTCTTTCGAATCATCTCAATCGCAAGAAGCTCTTATTCTGAGGGAAGGAGGAGGAGGAGGAGGAGGAGGAGGAGGAGGAGGAGGAGGA